AGCAAATACCTAGGAATAAGTTGCTAAAAATATAATTTGTAATTAAGTCAGTACCTCTCCTCTTTAAATGGACTTATTTGACTTTATCTGAAACTGTATTCTCATGAATTTAATAGGGAGTAGTGAAAAATTAATCAAGGAGATACAGAACCTAGTTTTTTGTTTTTTTGTTTTTTCCAAATACTATTCTATTTCAGTTTTAGACTCAACTTACATCAACCGATTCCTTGTTGTGGCAATATTTTATTTGCGCATGCATGAGAAAACCATCTTAAGAAATGTGTTCATTTGCATACGTTCGGTGTGTACGGAACGCTTCCCGCGTTAAAGGCACGGTCCGCGCGATGTATCTGTGATTTTTGATCTTTGCTGGAGCACTCAGCTTTCTGCGGTTTGTGCGGTACGGAACTGGAGTTAGGGGACAACCTGGGGACTGAAAATAGTTAAGTCCTGAAGTAAGACGAAGGGAATGGGAAGGGACACATCAACGGTGTCGCTGAGTGATGCACGAGGTTTTAATGAAATTCCTTTGTACCAAATATACTTGCACTGTAGACGGGGCCTGTTGAATTATTTATAACGACTGTGGGATGACAACACATTTGCTAGCGAAGACCACGGAATAAACCAACCAGGTTCTTCCTCTCAGATCCCCAAAGCTGCTGCGTAGCAGTGTTTCCTTCGGTATCAGGGTCTACGTTGACTGCAACGTTATATTAGAAACCAGCTTGTAAATAGAACCTCGTGAAGCAGATCTTTTGTTTTTGTTGTTGGCTCTACAATTTCTAATTTTCTTCTTTTGATTTTCAGGAATATGACTGACTCATTTGCATCTGTGCAGATGGGATTTCTAATTGCTGAACAGCTGAATAATCTGCCAACTTTCTCATAGTTGCTCAGACTTTCTGTATTTCTTGTAATTCATTCATTCATTCAATCATTCAATTTTTGTAATTATATCAAGAGGACAGATCGGTTACTGCTCAGAGCTACTTACTGCCCGTCTTCCCTCCCTTTCTCTCTTTCATTTCAGTGAGGAAACATCACCAGCACTAGCTAGCCCTCCGCCCCCATATCTGTTGACTTGGCTGGTCCTGTCAGATCTTTAGTTGATGTGAGCTTAAAGGAATGATTCCTCTTGTAAGAATTCATTCTTTCAGAGAAAGAGAATGTCAAGGACATTCCAGAAGGGCATAAGAACTCTTTTCATTTTCTTTTGTTATCAATTTATGATTTTTGACACAAAAGTACGCCTGATTAATCATTACTCAGGCTAAAATTTTTGGGTGAACTATGAGTATGCCAATTTAAAATGTGATGGGCAGTTAAATTGATTCAGAACTAAAAAATTCTTTTATGGATAAATACATGTGGCTAAATGGGACATGGCTGTACTTTGAAGGTAATTTTAGAAAATGCGTATGTGAGAAATGAACATAAAGAATAAAATGTTTGACGTTGGAGGGTGTAATGGACAATTATTGATTAAAATGGAGAACTCTGAAAAGTTATACTTAAAATTATAGAAATGCTGTTACCACAAATCATTTTCCTCAATAATTGGATGTGTCATACCGTAACCCAAACGCTTCCGCCCCCTGTGACATGCTGTGCTGTCAGCTGCCACACATTGTGACTGCTCATAATGGAGGCCTGTGATGGGGGGTGCATGGAAGGGACGGGTCACTTGTTTTTCTCAGACATGTTAACAAACAGTACCTTAGAGGACTCGAGGGAAATCACTGTTTTTTGATCTCTCCCAGGGACTATTAATTATTTCAGAAATCAATGACTCTCCATGATGTGACTCTCTACTAACACCTGGCTGTTTCGGGCTTCGCTAGGAAGTGGCGTAAGACACCAAGAGTTCCTGCTCACAATGATAAGATCCACCCAGAAGCGAAGGATAATTAGGACAGGCCTCTTTTGAATAACACTAAGGCATGTCATTGTCTCTGGCAGTCACTTTCAAACTTTTTTGACCACAGCCGACCAAAAAAACTACATCTTATGTCATCGCCCAGTTAGCACAAACCTTCCCGCCCGAAAACTTTCATGAAGCGACACTTACTGTTACTGTCTGTGTTGTATTCCGATAACTTCTGTTTTTCTCTTTGATCCTATTAAGTAAAATGCCCTTATACGCCACTGGATTAATTTCATGACCCTCCGCTGCTAAGAAAACCAGCGTTGCAGCTTCTGAGGTCACGTGTGTGGTCGTTCCTGCCTGAGACAGTGGGGAGCTGTCTCCTGGGGGGCTGGCTGGGCCGGACCGCATGGCTTAACCAAGTAGGATTTCTTTAGACTTTAATGTGCTTACTATTTAAACTCAGAATATTCATCCTTTAACATTTGGGCAGGTTTTCGTGACGGTACTTCCTAAATCAATTACATTAAGTGTCACTTTCCTGTTTAGAACATATATTTGTGCATGGAATACAGCATACGTTTAAAATATTTTCCAAATATTTATTGTTAATTACTAATATAGTTCTTAAACTAAAGGCGTATATGACCAACGTAGGAACTAAAATGCAAAAAGTATATAATTCAAATCCCACAACCAAGAGATAATCATGGTAACATTTCTATATGTCATTTGTTTTTTATGTTTTCCTTAGACATAGGTACACCTGAAAACACGTACGCACAGTCTGGATCATACGTGCAGCTGTGCCTCCCTCCCACATGTTATACCATGAACGTCTGTTCATCTTATCAAAAACGATTTACAAATATTTTGTAGGACGGAAATGATTACAAAATGGCATAATTCATTAATTATTCCTCTATTGTGGGACATTTAGATTTTCCCAGTTTGCTCTTGCCTTTTATTTTTGTTCGTGATTTTTTGCCATGAAAATCTGAGCCTTCATTTGATTTAGGCATTTGACTGCAGTTATCTTTTCTGCAGATATTTTCTCTCTCCTTTGCTTTTATGCTTACGAATTACTTCCTGATCCAGGGAAGAAATATTTAATTTAGCAAGGATAAACCTAATGTTCCATTATTGTTTGGGAGTAGATTAAAAAGAAATCACGCTAAGGAAATATTCTTCCATTCACTTAAAAAACAGCACTGGGTGGTGAATATTACTGAATGGGTTTTTAGCATGTAGGTGATAATACCTGGTTTATAGTAGAGGTTCAATATATAATGTTTTCATGAATCAACGATCAGAATTAAAAAGTATTTTCTACATCTAATTTTAAAAGTAATATTTTTGATGGGTTTTGAGTTGCTAAAAAATTTATCTTTTTTTAAAACATTAAATTTAGAAGGATTATAAGTAGTAAATATTTATAGAAATATACCAAGTCAGAAGTGATCTCCTGAAATCTTGCTCCCCTGGGTAAACATTAACAATCTGGTGAATATTCTTCCTGATTTTTTTCTATGAAGTGAGAATTATTCATTTAACTGCACAAAAATATATGCACATAGACCTTTACCGTTGTACTGTTGTATTATAATGAAAAAAATAAATGGAGAATTATCTAGAATAGTTATTGTATAAACATACGAAACGATCCCAAAATAAGTTAAGACTAGCCAGATAAACAGACATGAGAAGATTTATACAATATATCGTTACATAAAAAAAAGAGGAAGATAGTTCTTTAAAAAACTGATCTATTGTTCATGATAATAAAGAGATTTCCCCCATTTTAAACCATGAGTGCATTTTCCTGAGATGACCACCTACTTGAAAGTGTTAAGTAAGCAAGTCTTTCAAAATATAGGTCAATTTAAATTGTTAGTATTTTAGTACTTTTCGTTGATAATTCTTCAGTGAGCTGGGCTTTCGGTTTTTGGGCATCCTGGCTTTGCCTGTTATACTCGCTTCATGAAATGAAATAAGTAACTGGACTATCTCACCAAGCACTGAAATTATCTGCATCTTCAAAATCTAAAAGAATTTTTAACTGATGACAGATAACATCAGCTAGTCCTGCAATCTCTTTTGTATCGTTTATCTGTATCTGACTTAAAATATGAAGAAGTTTGTTCAAAGTGTCTATATCCTTATTTATTCTAAGTTTCCTTGACTAACAGTGATATATTAAAGTATTTGACTATAATTGTCAATTCCTCCTTAAATTTTTAAAACAGCTTTGGTTTTATGGGATGTTTTAAAGCAGAAGTATGATTGAGTGTTTCTCAAATGTGTACCATGAGCTAAAAAAGGAAATTCACTCTGCTATATTTGATTTATGTTAGGCCATTATATAAAATGAGAATGGCCGTATATGAGTTCTATGAGTGCTTCCTTATTTTGGGGTCCATAAATATGGAGGAGTAACGCAACTTTGTTTATACTTCTTCATGGTTAGGGCTCTAAAAGTCTCAAATATTAACATATTAATATGTTAGGGTTCCTTTTCTTACTCAGAGAATTGATCACAGTTATACTTGCTGTGATTGGACCTCATCTCAGTCAGCTATCCGTCTTTCAAAAGCAGACATCCCTTGCTTAGTCCTATTTCCTTTTTGTCTTGATTGTATTTCTCTTTATTATGTATTCAAATGTATAACTAGATTTTTCTTTATAATAATATATCAGAACAACCCCTATGTAAGATTCCCGCTTCTAGTCTACATATGAAAAAAGTAGGATTATTTAAGTCGTAGATTGGCTTCCTAATTTCTTCTTCTTCTAAGATGAGCTTTACTAATTAATTTCCACTTCACACTTTGATCAAGATAAGTCAAGTAATTTCTCCCAGTCTCTCTGTTACTTCAACTGAAAGATAAGGATAATGGTGACTGAGGAAAGATAAAGCTGCATCACAATAGGGATATATAAAAAAATTAATGTTAATATATTTGTCATGAGGACTTTCTGTACTCTACTGATGTAAGTCTACAGAAAGACCATAAGAGAAAAAGTGAAGGTATCATAAAGGACGTGAAAACACGGTAATTTTTGCTGTCTCGCTGACCTCACCATACGCCGATTCAAGGTGTTTTAGGCGTGTGAACGCTGTAGCTGGTCTTACCTGAACCATTCTTCAGATAGCCATTTGCATCGACAGTTGTGTACATGATGTAAGGTCCAGGCTGATTCACTCCAAAGGGCTGCAAGAAAAGAACAATAGTTAAGCTCGAATCATTTGAAGTTTTAGGCGAATCTATTAAAAATCAAGTAAAACCATCTCACATAAAATTCTTATATAGATGGCAGTCATGTAGAGAAAATTTCCTTAAATAGATAACCTGTGTTATCTATTCAAAAGAATGGTAGAAAATTCTTAATACTTTAAACGCGCTGGTAGTTGAATTTATAGGGTATTAATTTTGTTGGGTATTCCTAAGGTCTAATATTGTCTGCTACATAAGGGTGACTATTTTACGCAGTTCTCCCCAGAGAGCTGTCGGGCAGCTCCGGGCCAGCTCTGTTCTCGGTGTGTTCTTCCGCAGACGGAGCTTGCTCAGTGTGAACAGCCCTGCCAACCCGGACGTTTGCTAAAAACGAGCATTAGTCGTGGTTTATATTGAAGCTGCCTGAGGCTGTGCCATCGGCTTGGGCTAATGAGAGGTGGACCAGATCGTAAAAGGAAAAATGTGAGTCAGATGTTCTGAGGGGGCTCAGAAGCTCTCACATATTCCTGGGGCGCTAGAAGGCCACACTCGTGTAACCCTGTTTTCAGACAAAAGACCCGAATCGGCCCTAATCTCTCACTGAAGGAAACCTTTCTTCGGTCGTCGCTGAGTAGAGACTTCAGTGGCTACACACACGGACTGTAGAGTATCAGCGCAGCGAAGTCACTGAACGAACAGCGGCAGCAACAACAAACCCAGGAGAGCAATTTCCAGGGTTAACACGTTGTTTAAAATGTCCAGCTTTCAACAAGAAATTACGACACACACAAACAGGAAAGTATGGGTCATACGAAGGAAAAAGTGAATAGAACTCGCTCCCAAGGAACCCTGTATGTTTGACTCAGTAGGCGGAGACTTTAAATCAGTGGTTATAAATACGTACAAAGAACTATAGGAGATTATGAGGACGACGTCTCACCAAAACGGTGAGACACACACACAAACACACAACGTCTAGAGCATGTGACAAGTCAAAAATGCACTGCCGTGGCTCAGCGGCAGATTTAGATTGGCCTCTAGCTGGGAACAGTGGAGGAAAGAATGAGTGAGCTTGAAGACGTAGCAGCAGAAACTTCTAAAGCAGGAACACGAAGAGGGAAACCACAGGAAAGAGGAAACGGAGCATCCAAGGGCTGTGGGACGATCGCCAAAAAGTGCAATGTACGTGCCATGGAAAAGGAGAGAAAGAACAGAGGAAATATTTGAAATAATAATCGGCTTCCCCCAAATCTGCGACAGACACAAAACCAGGAAGCCCGGAGAACACCGAATGAGGTTAACACCGAAAACCCCACACCGAGGCGTAGCGTATTCAGTCGGCAGGAAGTCAGAAGGAACCCTGAGAGCAGCCAGAGAAAGGCGCTGGGAGAAAAGGGGTCCGGGGTCCCCAAAAGGCTACGGCATAATCATGACGCCCATGTGATGTGGGTGAAAGGCCACGGCACGGCGTGGTGCCGACATGCAGACGCCCGGCAGCCTAGGTTTACGAGTGGGCAAGGGAGAGCTGGACCGACCCAGGCAAGGACCATGGGAGGACAGTCCTTCACGGGAGTGACAGGCGGCGGAAGTGACGACTGATGCACGGCAGCTAAACGGGGGTGGGGCATTCCACAGACCAGGCAGACGGCACCCAGATCAGCGCAGCGGTCCTTAAACTCTGATTAAGCACACCTACACTTAAAATTCTTAACAAAGTGACTATTTTTTATAGCGGTTTTAGACTCACTATGCAATTAAGTGGACAGTCCAGGGAGGTCCAACATGCTCTGCGACACGGGAGCAGCAGGGTCTGACCAGGGCTCACACGTGCTCAGAGTGGACATGGTGACATGCTGTCCACGCTTCCCCTTCGGGACCGGGGCACTTGGCCCCTGAGCTGCTCCCAGCCGGTTCTCACTTCTAACTTGTTCTCAGTCAAGGGGAGCTGGCTTGCGCACACCACGGCCCCTTCCTGGGGACCGCCTGCGTGCAGTGGCTGGGACACACGGGCGTCTGAAGGCCTGACCCTCGGCCTCCATGAGCCATCTCCGAGGGCCCACCCTAGCTTCGCAGCAACCCGAGTATCGCAGACCGGTTTCTCCTGCGAATCTCGCTGTCCTCAACGTCAGAGGCGCTGCTCAAGTGGGGTCTAGATGAACCCTTGGCACGCACACCTCTGGGTCGACGTCTCTTTCCACCCGCCTTAAACATGGCAAAGTTTCCCAACCACACGTAAGATGTGGGCCACGCGGTGCTTTACTGGGGTCGTACAAGTACAAGACTAATCGACATCCAGCTTTGTGTTCTAGGGCCACTGCTTAATAGTGCTGTCACTTTGGATAATTTAATTTCTTTGAGCCTCAGTTTCCTCATCTTCAAGTGGGGGTGAATTTCTTACAAAACAAGGGTTACTATGAGCAGGGACACACACACACACACACACACACACACACACACACACACTTTCCAACATGATGGAATATTCTTAGTATAATTTACATGAATTGGCAATTTCAAAAACTAAGCCTAATTATTTTCACATTTGGTTTCTCACTGAAATATTCCCTTAGACGGCAAGTCAGTATTAAAGCTAATACTGAAAAAACGATCTCCTATAAGCTTAGCCCTGTGCTGTGTACCAACTACACAAAGATGACATGATTCTTGACCTCAAGGGATCATGGTCCTCTGTGGAGAGGTGTTAAAGACAAACAGGTAAGTGTGATCAAGTGTTACATATGCCCAGAGGCAGCGGTATGCACACAAATAATGGGAGGGGTGACATCTTTCCAAGGACATCAGAAGAGGCTTCATAAAGGAAATGAAATTTGAGATGAGAAATTTTTAGAAATGGTCCTTTATTCCCAGTAAACTTTACTTAAGCACTGAAGGATACTTTTTAAGTCACTCTAAAGACTAACAACGATTTGGTTGTAACCTACGACAACTATTTTGTGTGTATCTCTTTATGATGCACAGAACTGTCTCAGAAATATTTATAGCTGAGTTAAGTTTACTTACTGTTATCTTGCGAGGGCAGTCATTAGAACAGAGACCACTAAGAACTGTGGAAAAATAAAGAAAAGGCTGTTATTACCGACATAATGGAAGCTAATATTTAAAGTAAACTTTAATTGTTTCTAAAATCTATTAACGTGCTCTACTGGTTCATGATCACAAGCAGAAACCAATTCAGTTTCTTTATATCGGAGTAAATTAAATTTCTATTGTTCACTTATTTTATACCAATATTTCAAAAGACTTTATTGAGCAGTCAAGATGCAGCCTTTTTGTGAAATATATAGATGAGATGATTAATTATGGTTTAATCAAGCTACACCTACTGTTGGTTTTATTTTCCAGTTGGTTAGCTAAATTCCAAGGATGATTTAGAATCTGACAAAAGTGCCAAATGCAAACCAATTAAAATGTATACTGAGAAAAACAAATAGAACATTTAGTATTTTCTATCTCAAACTAGACTTTTCCCATTTATCTAGTCAAAGTTTCTGGGTCAAAGATTTTAGGCCTGCTTAATAACATAATATTATGGAGAACATAACTATACAATAATTGATGGGTCTACAACAGAGATACAAAAATAATTTAATGACACAATTATTCTACAATCAGCAAAAAAGGAAAGGTTAGAATTTCTGAACAGGCTTTATATAAGTAACAAGATTTGAGACATAACTATACTAGGGCCACTTCTGTATTCTTACAAAGCAGACACTCTGTGATATTAATCACTGTACATGTTATAAATTAAAGAAAGCTGACGATTCTGCTCAGTATGCATGAATCATTTCAATAACTGTTATGAATATAATCCATGGGAAAATGGGTTTTTATATTTACTTATATGAATATAAAATGACAACTGTCCTAACAGACATGTACTGAGGCAGGGTATACAGAGCACAAAGGCTCTAAGAAGTGAGCGTGACATCTTTCGTCACAGGAGACACGTGTTCATTCACACCGGATATACTGTTTAATGTTTACATTAAATAGTGACATAAATGTTTCACACTTGCAAAAAGAGTTTCCAGTGTTGAATTTCTGACCCCGGCCCTGAAAGCATGTTTCTCTTTTATCTTCGAGGTTTTTTTTCATTCCTCTTCCGTCGCCTCTAGGCAGACATTGGTATTTCTTTTCCGCTTATACCGAAATGGTTTTCGTAAACCTTTATGTAAATCATTATTTTGCTGAATAGTGATTATTGAGTCACAAGTCTGTTTGTATTCGCAGGCAAACTGCATCATTTTATCATTTTCTCAGGGCCTGACTCAACATATTTACACAATAAATACTTGTTAAAACAGAGAAAAGATGGATTATTCGGAAAATGGTACTGGTTAACTGGCTCCTTGGAGGAAAGTGAAATTAGACTGTAATTCATAACAGGAAAATTACATTTGACAATGACCCAAATAATATAAAGAACTCTTATACTGCAGTAATAAAAAGACAATTATAAAATGGGCAAAAGATCCGAATAGGCATTTCTCCTAAGAAGACACGGAGACAGACAAGCTCCTGAAGCGATGAGTGACCGGGAAATGCAAACCAGAACCACGACGAAATGCACATGGTCATGACACCCAAGAGGAGAAAGCAACCCCTATGAACGCCCTTCGCGGATGAACGATTCAACAAAACGCGGTCTACCGAACGATGGGAGAGCGTTCACTGAACATGTTTCCTTAAAACGGGACGGCATCTCGTCACACGCTACAGCGTGGATGAACCCTGAGGGTCTGATGCTGAAATCAGCCAGTCGCAAAAAGATAAACACTACAGGTTCCACCTGTGTGACGTATCTAACCTAGTCACATTCATAGAAAGTAGAGTGGCGGTTACCAGGGGTAAATTCACAGAAACAGCATGATTTCTGGGTTTTATCTTCAACGTTTTTGGCATGTATAGTGAAATTACCTCCAGAAAGGTTACCCAGCATCTTTTTAGCAAACAATCTTTCACTGATCTTCTGCTGAGTGCCAGACTGAACGTGGATTTGCTTTCGCATGTGACACTGAAGCTCGGGCCAGTACATTACTCAAGGTCACAAAGCAAATGGAATTCTTTCGAAAAACCATGTGGCCACCAGATATTAACTCATTTAAAAAACACATTATCCTACTTTTATGGAAGATGGGAAATCAATGAACCATTGGATTATTTTATTTTCTGTACAAGAGAAAATGTCTGTGCCTTGTTTAGCATAGTTGACAGTATTTACTCAAAATTACATAATAGTCCCTTCCATTTTGTATATAGCAAGCTAAAAATTGGTTTGTGTCCTGTATCTATTTTTGTTTTTTACGCGACTTCCCCTGTCACATCTGAGGTTTCGTATAGTAGCAACAGGATCGAAATGGTAAGATTTAAATGCGCCGTACATATGTATGTCACACATGTCATATATATTATATTATACATACATGTCTTTTAAAAAGGGATGTCTACATAATACAAATGGAGTATGCCTTTCCTTGGGTTTTGCAACCATGGTTCAAGGAGGAAGCACGCCAGTCCTTGAGCTTGGTCTTCTGCTTGACAAGGCTGCTTAATTGGGAATTCAGGGCTCCCAACTACTGTGAGAAAGGCTGACCTGTGCTTGGCCTCAGATTATTATTTCACCTACAGAACCGCCTGACTTTTCCCCGGTGACAGGTACACGGTCACAGCGGCAGGTAAGGAGAGACAGACCGCATGCTTTCGGGGCCCTACTAGTGATGTGTGTTTTACATAAGGCAGAAAAAAGTCGTTAACTAATTTCAGCAATTATACTGCTTTTCTTAAGGAAGACTGTAGAAAAGTGAAATTTTACTTTTAGGTTTGTCTTTATTGCTGAATCCCTCTGTGATCCACCCTTCAGATTTCCCATCAAAAAAGGGAGACACTTCTACCCTTTTCCCTTCTTGGTTTAATAAAATAAATGTCTGGAAAGCATTAGCTCTCTTCAAATGTACAGCTATAGAAGGAATGTTTTTATTGTCATTTCGTATTTTTCAGCATATTAATGTGACAGGTTTAAACACAGCTTATTAAAGTTAGATATAATGTCCTCAAAAAGGAAGGCCTGAATGAGACGCCACCGAGAAACGGTGTGGCACACATCTTACAAACCTGTTAGTCGTTCGTCTTCTGTCTTTAGTAGTTTTTTGATAGTTCTGTGCATGTGAGATCAGTGACACTAAACCTACGGGCCGTGAGCGTCCTCCAGGAACACGCCCCGCGGTGGCCCCCGCACCGACACCGGCTGCCACCACGAGCCCAGCTCCTTCGAGGCCGCCTGTCCCCGCAGTGCAGGAAGTGGCATGGAGCCGGGCTGTGGCTGAGGGAGCCGGGGCAGAAGCGGCATGGGTGGGGCCGGGCACCTGTGTCACAGGTTTAGGAAGATCTTTAAAATAAGGGGGTGGATGATGTAACTTCTAAAGTGTACAGACTCTGCAAAGCTACGATTCCTGACGGGTCTCTGCTGCCATCGGGCAGTCTCGGGGGCTTCACACCGGCTGGTACAGAGGGAAGCGGTGTGTTGTTGTGGGCTATACCATAGGACGGTGACAGAGGGAGCATGGAGAGGCGGGTCTGACAGATGCGGCAGGATGGCCAGGGACCAGGGACCAGGCACTGAGCGGGCTCTGAGCTCAGGCAGGTGAGTGGGGCCTGGAGAACCCGTGGTTCCTGGCAAGCCGATTCTCCACCGTCTGTCTCCTTACGTGATATGTCGGGGTCATATTCTTTTTAATAAAAGTTAGACATTCCCATGTATTTTCGTTTAAAAATTTTCACGTATAGGTACTATCACGTAAGACAAGCCGTGCAGAACACGCGGCAGAGGCCCTGCCCGTGAGGAACATCATCAGCTCCGACTGCTTTAAATGCGTCACGCATTCTGTGATTCTCCATTCCAGGGTTTAAAGCATCGGCTCTCGCCGCTGGCTTCTGGTGTGCTCGAGACGTCAGGGGCCAGCAGAGGAAGCGGAGAACGCTCAGGGCTCACAGGAGTTGTCAGTGGCAGTTTTAAAAAATACTTTTCCAGACTTTCCAAATGTTTTACAATCAGGCTGCCTTATTTTTGTAATCGGAAACAAAACAAATTCCAAACCAAACTTTACTAATAAAAAAGGGAACAATGCTTTAAAATTCTCTCGCATAAACGGAAAAGTAAAAGGATAGGCTCTTACGGCATTTTTACAAATGTCACCCTGAAATTATAATTTTAAGACTCCACGGAGTCAGACTTACGAGCAAGTGAAAAGTACCAGGGGCCTATGAAATCAGAGCAATAATGTAATTTCTCCAGTGACGTTAGAATAAAAACTGCATCCTTCGTGTTTTAGTCAGGAAAAAACTCTCGCTACGAAATGCTCCAAGGCGGAGTGTATCATTATTGTTACGGCAGAAGCTCGCTTCCCAGATGTGGGGCAGTGATACCTCTTATATGAAAGCATATGGTTATAAGTGAAGCAAACATTTTTCTTAAGCAACTGTAACAACACCAGGCAGGTTGCTGAAATGCGCAAAAAGCCGTCATGGAGAAGGGAGTTTTACCGGGAGAGGCTCTGCCATGACTTCAGCTCTCCTATCTGTGTTTTGTCACCGAGCTTCTTGGTGCAAGGACTTGCAAAGGCAAGGACTGTGTGTATTTGGTTTGTAAGTCTCTCTCTCTGAGTCTCATTTCAAGCGTCAATGTTTTCCTAATAACTAGCTGATCTTGGCTGAACCGTATTCTAATTTTTAGAAGGATTTTTAACCATTTCATAAATGTTTGTAAATTATTAGTATTTGTAATCATATTACAGAATTCCATAAAGATCTATTATAGTGTTTTATAATACCCCTTTCAGTAAACAGCTCTAAAAAGTAATTAATACTCCTAGACTTTTAAAACCAAACTTGTTTTAGAAGGATTAAGGAAATATAAGAACATAGGCTATTCACAGTTAAATGAAAAGCTGTAATTAAAATACTTAATGAGCTATGTGAATTATTGGTTATTAGATTAGTTTAAAACATGACTAATGGGTTGTACAATTCACAGGTTTTCTTAAAAATGATGATGCTTAGGATCTTAACATTTCATGTTAAAACTACGTTACAGCCCACACGTTTTTAAAGAAATTGGAAGTATAAAACCTTGTGATTCCGGCTTTGTGATTCAGTTTACACAAAGCCAAAACCAAAAAATAGTAATAATCATGCGTAAATACTGTGACACCAAATCAATGTGCAGGTTAGAAGAAGGACGAATAGGAAAAAGACAAAGCTATAAAGGTCAATACTGTACAAATAGCTTTAGTAGCATTAAAAATGAAATTCCTTCCTTGGAGCATGGGTGACTGTCCACATTCATTCTCTGAAAACGTCTTTAGTTTTTGTTTAAGACACACGAATACAAAGCAAATGCCATCATTGAATACCATGTGTGAAATAAAGGCCACCTCCCAGCTATTCTTGTCATTAGACGTTATTTTATGCACTATATAGAGATCTTTTTTGTCTGTTCTTGATTACGTACTTTTCAGTCATTTTCTTTAGTTAAAAAAATCACTCTAAAAAGCTTAAATACAGAAACGTAAATAAGTGGTGAGTCCCCTTTCAAGTCATTCTGATCCTGTTCACGCACGTGCAAACACATTAAGCATTAAATGCGGCAGGTACATGTTTCACACACAGTAATTTTTTGTGACGTAAGTAGAGCCTCCCGTAAATGCTGTTCTCTTCCCACTGGACAGCACAGCTCTGCTCGGACTGAGTCTGACGACTCTCCCAGGCTGAGGCCGCAGGAGTGGGCCCGCCAGGGGCTCCTGCAGTGTCCCTCGGCCGTGACCCGCAGAGGGGGCATCGCTTCTGCTGTTATCTGAGAACCCCGAAGCCACCATCCTGCTCGAATCCGTCTCCCCTGTCTGGTGGGCTCTTGGCTTGCAGGCCCCAAGGAGCTCCTGCACGGGGCGGGACGAGGGGACAGTGACGGCCGTCTGCTGTGCAGAATCGGGCGACACGGTGCTTTTGCCTCCTGTAATCTACTGATGCTGATTGTTTTTAGAAATAGAAGCAGCGAAAAAGCCTCAGACGTGTGAAGAAAAACAACTTAAAAGGAAGACCAAAGAGCAATCGTGTGAAAGGTCTCTACCGAACAGAACATGCACGAAAAGGGGAGAATTTACCAGACGCCCATACCGTGCGCAAGAGGAAAATGGAACAATGCTTAGAAAATTCTCTGCTGGCGAACTCAGCGTTGATACGGAAGGGCCAGAGAAAGCTATTTTAAGACATGCCAGTACTCAGAAGATATATTAAGCTCTGTACAACTTTCTGGAAATAACCTGAAGTGCTCCGGCAAAAGAAATCAGAATGAAGAAAAGAAAGATGTGGCATATCAGTAAAACGGTGGCAACAGAGCTGATACAGCTTGTTAAGTTTTAATCATCGGTGACAAGATGGTCGTGAGTGGTTCAGAAAGGGTTTGCAGAAGGCACAAAAGGTAAAACAGAATACCCATCAGGAAGTAAGCTTCCAGGTTATTTCAACAGAATCGGGAAGCGGGAAGGAGGAAACCTTTCTAAACGTCTCGTATCTGGAAAGTAAAAGGTGAAAATACTGTCACCAGTTCACAAGTGCCAGGGAAATACGGGTTCGTACGCGTTAGCTGGGAATCTGCCTTACGCACTGGTGGAGCTGAGTTAGAGCGCAGAACCTCCAATGCGGCTGAGAAGAGAGAGAGAAAAATGAGAGCTGGGAAGTATGGTTCGAGGGAGCTGGGGCACCTCCAATTCTGCAAGACTCGGGGCCCCCTGTCTTCACGCAAGGGCTTGGGGAGTGTCGTGTGGGTCCCCGGTGTCGTGGGAACAGGCAGAAGGTGGTTTGCTTTTTCTCTAGCCGCATATAAAAGCTTAAGTACCCCGATTTCCTTAACTGAAGAAAGCGACATTTAGCACAGGCTGGTTTGAGCATGAGAGTAACAATAATTTTAGAGCAAAATCAACCCTGGACACTGTTGATGGCTCTGAAAGGGTAATTGCACACTGGTAGCTGTCTGACTTAAAGCAAACAACTAATAATCAAAGCAGAGAGTGGAAGGGCGTCTCAAAACAACTAGAAGGTTATTTTCCCCAAATGATTGCTTTAAATTGGTATCTCATTTCCCATGACCTTTCTGTAAAGTATGTTATTAATATTTATGTTAATATCTTTAACGCAAAGTTATCTTATTTTCTAAAACTGAGAGCTCCTGCCCCAAACTGGCACTCTGGCTGTGAGCTCGGGGACGCGCGAGACAGCTCCCCGGGGGCCTGCTCCTCAGGTGCCCATCCCGACTCGGTCCCCAGGTCTCAGGAGACGGAGGGTGTAAAGCCTTTTACACGCAAGTTTTCAAACACACAACTCAGAATAGTTAAGGGACCCCACGCACACATCACACACCTGCAGCTGTCAACGACGCGTGGCCAGTCTTGTTCGTCACACTCCGTTTCCTACTTTCCTGGATTAAAGGGGAACCCGGGACGGGTTATTTCATTGTGGTCGCGTGACTCGCCTCGTTAAAGTGGTTCACCTTTCCCGCGCAGGACCATAACGTGTTCGGAGGTATGCTGCTACTGTGGTTATAAATTACGGTCTGCTTTAAGGATGCAACCTGCACTAATGAGATTAGGACTAATTGGTTTTGTACGCGACAGATATTATCAAGCGCCTATTTATACGGCAGACACAGTACCAGTGGCCCGTATAACCGCGTATGCACATTGTGACCTGACGCAGAATAAGTTTTCTAACAACGAAGTGGCAGGTAGCACGGGTGCGTCGCTCTCGGGGGAGGTGTGCGTGAGGCCGGGCGTGGGCCAGATGGCTTTCAAGGCCTTTCCCATCTCTAAGATGCCCCGAGCTTTCTGTAATTTTTAAAAATGTCAGTGAATAAATACCAAGGAAGGACTGGGGATCCTAAATTACACGTATGCATTTTTTCCGTGTGGGCAGTTTCCAAATGATCAATATGTTAAAAAAAAAAAAAAAAAAAAAGCGAGACTGGCCTCGGCCTCACACCGAAAAGGGCCTCCTCTCTCAGTGCCGAAGTCACTGTTCCCACCGGGCGGCAGACTCTCTTTTCACTGCTAGGGAACCCCTAGTTTACTTCCGTGTCACGTGACGGGCAACCTCTGCCCCAGGAAAGAGCCCCTGCCGCGCTGGGCATGGCAGGCAGCGGCGTCACGGGCCTCACAGCAGCTGACAAACGTGTGCCAGGCGCAGAAACGCGGTCATCTGGCTTGAAGAGTACAAAACAGAGGATTTCAGCAGAAAAGCAGTTTAAAGGCTTGAATAAAAGAACTAGCTATTGCCAACTATTTCTCAAAATGGGGGCAACAAAGAAAGAAAAGAAAGAATTTGCTGAGTGCAGAGGGAGCTTAATCTGCCCTAAAGGTACACAAACTAGTCTCTCTGTCGCTTGAACTGTTTTCCTCTCCATGCCTCCCGCCCTGTCTGGAAGGCTGAGCCTTCAGTCCACACACACGAAACGCCACATTCAGACGAGCTAAGTAAGAAATCTGCCTTCTTCCGAAAGCTTCAGAGTCGGGAAAAGAGTTTCTTTAAAGTGCAGTGGCAAAAGTCAAATTAAGGACAAAGCCGACAACCATCTTACTGAACGGAGAAAAGACTTTGAAAGAGAATGATTAATTTGACGTTAACATACGTATTTGAAACAAATGACATTTACTGTGGGTTATTTGCCCAGCGTGTCATGGAGGTAACGAGAGAGAACCCTTTCCTGTGCGATACGCCGCCCGTGGCTCCCTGGTGCTGTTAGTCACAGGGGGCCTGAAAACGTGGGGACGCTCGAGAACTTAAACTAGGACACTCGGTGCCTCTGACTCCACATTCCGTCCCTAGGAAGCGTTCCACCAAAACACGACACATGCCAATCCAAGGACATGTCCCCGCCTTCGCCGCGTGCCGACCTCAGGGACACGGCTAGTCAGTAGCTCGTTTCTTGAAAAGAGAAGTTCGGGCCTTAGTGAGCGAGTGACTGTGTCCTGAACACTGGAAGAAGTGATCGTTTACGGAGACATCTTTCTCCCAGCACGATGCCAACTGAAAAGTGCAGTGGCCATGCTGGAAATGGGGCGCGTCTCTGCGAGCGCGATGCGGGCGGATGCGTGGTGGCCCAGGGGGGCGGGGAGGGGTCTGACCAGGAACCGGCTCCACGGATCGCCACGGTTACGGCGGGGGAGGGGGCTTAAGGGAGACCCACGGCAGCCAGGCGGTCAAAGTTGCCACCGCGAGGAATGTATGGCCTGAGTCGGGGTCGGGGGAACAGGGCAGCAAGGCCTGTGTCCTTTAAAACGGACAAGGAGGACATGAAAAGGGACTGGCCCAGGTTCGGGAATTCCGGCTGCAAACGCGGAGGTTAAATGCGCTGGTACTCCTGCGCAGAACCCGGACCAGAACGCGGTCGCTGCCGGTGCCGCTGGGGACACGTGGACAGCGTCTGCTACGCGCGGGCAGTGGCACGCGGACGCTGATTCCCTGATTTGGAGGGGAGGAGTGCGTCCTTCCTCTTTGGGACATGTGTGTTGACACGGAGAAAGAATCCAAAATTAAATGTTAATACTTAATAAAAAAACATGTAACTCAGAAACTCACCAATGACTTTAACGAAATAAGCGTCTGCTTCGAAGTTGTTTTTTAATGCGTGGATGGCAAAATCGTTCTTCGCATAGCCTTTCCCGAGTACCACGATGTCCAAGATGCCCTGAAAAAACCAAACAGAGGTGCTGAGAACGAACGACCAGACCGACTGAAGATAAGGAAGATGTTTGGCGCGCGTACCGGGGAAATGTGAACCTTATTTATTCAACCCGTTTAACAAAAAATACTATTAAAAATGTACAAAACCTTGAATAACAAAACACGAATAAAATCTCTGGAGATAACGGCATTTTGGTATATTTCCTTCCGGTCATATCGGCATTAATTTTTAAAGGCCTATGATATGGACTGCTAAATCATGTCCAAAATCGGAAAAAGAGGGTACCTTTTTATCTTCCCTGGCTACCACTGCATCTTATCTTTTTTTCCCTCTAAGAAAGGGGAAGCTTTGCTAATTTTATTGGAGGAAAAAAAAGGTGAAGGTCATTTCAATTTCCATGCCGCTTATTCTTAGATGATAAGGTTGTTCGTTTCCTGTATTTTTTTCGTAAGTTAGCCACTTGTGATTTTTCTGTAAATTGATTACGTTTTGTTTCTTGAGAGTTTTTGAGGGCATATCAGTCTGTATAAACCCTTTTTATGTTAAGAATATTAATCATTTGATTCTTTCATAGCAAATTTATTTCCCGGCTTTAAAAACAATTTTAAATTTTATTCTTTGAAATTTCATTTATGATGGTTTTCATGCACAGAAATTAAAAATTGATTTGTAATCACTTCCTTTGTGATATTTTTGCCGATTACTTTATGCTTGAAAACTGTGAATAAAAAATGAAATAACATGAGATTTGGTAGCAAAGAGACATGAAAACCAAGACCCCGATAATTCTAGAGTTGAGAATCAGCTCGTAGAAAAAAGCAATACGAAAAGCAAACAGGGTTGGAGAGACCTTTAACGTTTTAGAATAAGTTATTTTGCAGGATATACTGTGTCATACTAACTCTGAGATTGAACGCATTTTTATTAGAACTTATTATTTTTCTGAGTGGTGATGTGAAAAGGCTTTTCACATTAGAAAGGAAGAAACCAGGGCCCTGAGCGCCCTTCACAAGGTCACCTGGCCACTGAAGGCAGAGTCATGAGAATCTGCAGGAACAGATGCCACCTCGAGCTCGTGAGGTTAAAGGGGAGCACCGAGCGCATTCTCCTGCGGCCCCCGCTGGCTGTGCTTCTGCGGCTGGCGCCCCTGCCCGCCCCGTGATTCCATGGGATCACGCGCGGACTGACATGAAGGCGTTTTCGCATTTCACCGTACCGATCGACCGGCGGTGTCAACAAGTTTGTTCCCTCTGCCACGTGACATTCCAAAGGGCTCTCTTTAATGAACTCATCTGCTTTCATGATCTCAACAACATTTTCTGGTCAAACAGGGTAAAGGGGAAGTGAGCCGAGGCGGACAGCGGTTAGACCCCGACACACAGGACGCCTCTGAACTCACGTCTTCGTAAATGTCAAAGAAGGTTGCGACCACGGCGTCTCTGATCTGATTTAGGTCAGTCAGCTCCCAGTAGACTTTAAACATCCGGTGCGCCCCCTCGCAGCTCGCGTTATTGCAAGGGACGTTCTCCAGCAAGAAGGCCTGCTGATTGCTGCAAGACAGAGGGAGGGCATTTACTGACGCGCCACGTGACCGCGCATTAATGCCGTACCGGAACCGCGATGACCTAGCCCTTTACCGTTCTCACCACAAGACAAGAAACGGGAATCATGGGAGATGGAGGGTGCGGATGGACCTTAACGTACTCGACACCGCGCTATTATACGTAAAGTCATCCGCTGTGCACCTTACGCTGACACACCGTCAATGTCAGTCATGTGTCATGAAACTGGAAAAAATAGATACGTGAGAAATCCCCAAATATTTGGAAATTAAATGGAATGCCACTAAATAATCTCTGAGTAAAAGGACTCGAACGGGAAGTGACAAAGTACTTTGAACTGAAAGGAAATGAAGATACAGCATATCAAGGTTGGTGGTGTCACAGAATTAGTATTTGGAGGAAAATTTATAACACTAAACACTTTATTAAAAAAGAAAGGTCTTTAATCGATGACCCCAGTTTCTTCCTTAGGAAACTGGAAAGAAAAGAGCAAATGAAATGTGAAACAAGCAGAAGAAAAGAAATAATAACACACGGGAAAGCAATGAAGTAGAAAACAGAAAGACAACGGAGAAAATCAGTGAAACCAAAGCTGGTTCTTTGCAAAGATTAATTATAAAACTGATAAACCTGCAAGCCAGAATGGCCATTTAAAAGCATTACAAAGAGAGAAGACACTGGGTAAAAATATGAGGAGTGAGAAGTACATCACTACAGATTTTATTGACACTAAATAATAAGGGAATGTTATGAAAAAGTCTGTGCCAATATAATTAACAAGTTACATGAAACGGACACATTCCTTGGAAATCACAAACTACCAAAGCTCACTCAAGAACACAGACTGAAATTGTACTTTTAAACCTTCTTAAAAAACCCCAAAAACTCCAGGTCCAGATGGCTTCACTGATGAATTAGAGAAGAAAGAATATTAATTCTACACAACCTTTTTAGAAAATAGACGAGGAAGACATACAAGTCAATAATAGAAAGACAAATAATTAAATTAAAACGGGCAAACTGTCCAACCAGACAATTATCCACGAATGGCCAATAGCTCAATGTGAGCCATGGAGAAACTGCGAACCACACTGAGAACACACTCCAAACCTATCCGTATGGCTACGATAAACGCACAGGTGACAACGAGTTCCAGTGAGGACCGGGGGAAGGGGGACCCTCGCACACAGCCGAAGGGAGACGGCAATGGGGCAGCGGCTTTGGAAAACGGCCTGGAAAACAGTTTGTCAAATGGTTGAACAGACTTCCATCCCTAAGTACATTTATTTATCTTCCATCCCTAAGTACGTTCTACTCCCAGGCGTAGCTCAAGCAAAATAAAAACATGTCCACACGAAAACTTGTATATGAATGTTCACAGCAGTATTATTTATAATAGCCAAAAAGTAGAAATGCAAAATATCCACCAACCGATGAATGAATAAAGTGTGCCACGTCCGCACGGTGGGATGCCGCTATTCGACGACGAAGTCCCGACGACACAGACCACCGCTCGAACCCAGACCCGAGTCAAGTGGGCCCGCCATGGAGCACCGTGTGCTACGTCGCTGCATTCATGCGACGTGTCCAGAATAGGAAAATGATACACATATAGAGAGAAAGAGTGGTTTTCTAGGGCTGGCAAGATGGCAAGATGGCCAGGGTGACTGGGGCGTCTTTTTAGGGCGGTGAAAATGTTCCGTAATGAACTGTGGTGCCGGATGCGCAGCACTGCGGGGAAAAGCCACCGGACTGTGCGTGGCGAGCGAGCCGTACGCTGGGTGAATGATGTCGCCATAAAGCTGTTAATAAAGAGACGTAAGTAACCGCAGGTGATGTGAACCCATTAAAAAAACCCATGGGAAACGTTCAAGCGACATGGCACGTCCAGCGCACGATCAAACGGCTCTTCTCCGAAAGGGGCGATACTCGCACAACTGGCGTGTCACCTTCTGAGGCTGGTTTTAATTTCTCTTCTAAGGCTATTCAAATCGGTGTTCTTCCTCAACACGCGAGCCCCTGACGAAGTCTGGGCTGCTCTGGGTTGCGAATATGTCCCGTGCATCTGTCTTGGTTCTCATTAAGAGAGGGAGCTGACGGGTCATTTAACGTGGAGTTTGATTTTCTCCCTGGCTGCTCTCAGAGCTCATGTGTCCACTTCAGTCGTTTCCATCTCCGGTGAGTTCTGCTCGTCTAGACTGTCATTGTCCTTAGCTCTCTCCCTCGTAATTCCCCAGTGTCATTATCAGCCTGGCTCACTGGAGGAGGCGAGCTTCTACTGGGGGACATGTGTCGTTCTGCCTAAACCCCAGGAAGGCAGTTCTAGGCACAGAAGAAAAACGAATTAAGGAGGAACACAAATAAGCCCATGAGGAATTTTCTGAAAACATAAGACAAAAAAAATTTTTTTGAATTGCTGCTCGGACACCTATGCTGCCGGCTATGGGTAAATGCAAAATCCTCAGCTAACGTGATGTAACAAAATAAAACATACACTTTGAAATACTAAAAGCTATTGAAATGTTTCTGTTATACGGATTACTGACGAGAAACGTTCAAAGTGATACACTTGACATTCAGAACAAGGTTCGCTCGCGCTCTAGGCAAAAGCGACACATTTATTCTCCAGACAGCATCTGTGAGGTGGGATCCAGTGTTTCTTGAACGAGAGGAGGAAGTAGCACCTTTTGTAGACCAAGGCCAAGTGAAAGGCAAAACTCATTAGGGTGCACACTGAACGCTAAAGGTTCCTGCAAACAAGTAGTTAGAAAAGAGTTTTTTCATGTTTTACCTTCATTCAAAGGTGTTCCTTATTAAATTGGCTAATTTGGTGGCCACTACATTTTCTTTCCAGGTATTATCTTATCTGTGTTTATTATGTAAACCGAAATACAATGGTCATGTTACTTGTTGGCTGGGTCATGGCATCATCGGGACATTCAGACTTTAAGTCGTGGACACACAGCTTACACAGCGCTCGTGCGGGAGGAACGAGGACCGGTTAGAAAGCACACGCGTTCCTGTTTAGTTAGTCCCGGCAGCTGCACTGGTGAACTGGCGAAGAGGAGAGGGAGACAGGAAGTGATGAAACAGATGGGGAAATGAGGCGTGACTTCCGCATTTCCGGTGACTGGCTGCATGAGCCACGGTGCCACCCTGCGACGTGTGGCACGCTAAGGACGGGCGGACGGAAGAGGAGACACTTTCGGGTTTGGGTGCCATAGGCGCGGCGTCCAGGGAAGGCTCACCGGGCAGGCAAATCCCTGACACAGGGATTGGAAAGTCCTCAGCCTGTAAATGGCAGTTAAAATGGCCAAAGCCGATGAAGACCATGAGCGTGAGAACGAAGGGCTGAGAGCGGAACCCTCAGAAGCGCCAATCCCTGCGACGGCCAGACGAAGAGGCGTCCCCAGAGGAGATGTGCAGGCAGTTAGAGAGGGTACAGAGAACAGGAGGGTCTTAGGGGTGAGTGAGCAGCAGCCAAAGGCCGGCAAGAACCTGGTGACCGGAAGACCGAGGGTGTCCACCGGATCTGTCATCAGAAGTCGCTGATTGTGGGCTGCGGCCAGACTAGGGGAGTGGGTGGCGGGGGGCGGTGAATGGGAGGTAATAAAGTAGAGACAGCTGTCCAGAGTCATGAACACATTTTTTTTAGGTTTGGGGAGACTTGCACATACAGTATTTATATAACGACTGGGAGAAAAGAGGGTGGAATGAGCAGATTCTGACGGCGAAGCAGAGGGGGACCGTTGATGCAACGAGATCCTGTGCTCAGCGGAGGAACGGAAAAGCAGAGGGTGTCGGAGCAGTCGGCGGGGGAAGTGTCAGACCGACTCCGGGGAAGCAGAAACGATGTGAACTGGGGAGGTGGCAGCTGTGACGGGAGAGGAGCGGCCTGCAGAACACGTCGCGAGAGAGGGTGGTACAGGAGGGACAACCACAGGGCAGGGAAGCCGGGGAAAGGAAGCCGAGGGAAAACCTGGGCGTTATTCACCTGGGAGTTAAGACAACTTGTGTTATGAATCTGAATGAAACAGCCAAAGGAAGAAATACAGGAAAAAGTCAACAGCTGAATATTCTACCTTGTGGAGGATCCTCGGGTGACAGATAAAAAGATCAAAAACCCTGCAAAACAACAGCTCGGAAGGATGAAAAATACATATCTTACTGTGATGGAGAGACACTGTGTCATTCGATATTAGAAATGAATATTGTTTTTGAGTATGTGAATGTTAGCTAAATGGGACATCTTATGTGATTTTTTTTGAGTTATGCAGTCACTCCGAATATAGGCAATTCCTATAGAAGAATTTCTAAAGCGTTTTAAATATTACTGAAGAAATGTCTACTCTCACCGGTGAGTCCTCTGGGCAACCGATTCATCTGTAGATGTTATTTTTAGATAAATGTCAGTCATATTCACTTACAGTTGGGGATACCCATGACATTCAATCGAGAAATACAAACTGTTCTGTCACTAGCTATATTTTGTTTACACCATATTCTAAAACCACAGCTTCTATGAAAACAAAACAAAACAAAACCGGCTTCTATGAAAGACGTTAGTTCATGAAAGGTAAGAAATCTTATGTACTTGATACCGGTGAGGCAAAAGAACCACATTAAGTTTCAATTTTATCTTCTCAGGAAAAGCTTGACAACATGCTGAGTTAAGATAATTATACACTTTAGGAAAAGGGCATTATCCCATCAGCGAAAATGCATTAAAAAAAGATTAAGCCAGGAATGTATACACAATCACCTATTAAACCCTTTATTAAGCAGAGGACAACACATTTAGATAATTAACTAAAACTCTGAAAAGAAAAAGCAGATGTAACACAATTAGTGCTTCTATAAAACTTAAAACTTTTTCCTTCAGGTCTTTCTTGGCCTTGAGTGACCCCAAGTGACCCAAATTAAGATCTAAGCTGATCATCCAGTTACTTTTTACCATTACTTGAAAGTGAGACAAAATTCTCAGTTCT